CCCACACACTGTACTATCCTGTACAACTAAAAGTGACAAACTAGGAGGCGTACATCAGAATCTAAATTCAGATTTTTGTAAATCTAAAAATGCATATTAATGTACCTTTTCAGGAGAATAAATAAAACTAAAGTGTTGGAGCAAAATACCAAAAAATGAACTTTTGTCATTAGCTCTTTCATGTCCTCATATGAGAAAACTGATTTTTGTTTCCATCAAACCTAATATTCCTACATTGCCTTTATTAAGGACATTGTCTCTTAACTGTAAAATATAGTAACAGTTAGTTTAAAGCAACCAGATATTTTCTTTTCAAAGCCAGTAGCAATAGTGATTCATCATTTGTATTCTGACTGACAGGTCTGGAGTGAGGAGGAGGAAATAAAGCTATCACCACATCTGACTCATGCACATATGAACCTCTGTTCTTGGTGAGTCAAATCACATGCACATAAGAGAGCAGGTATGTGACAACGTCATCGGCAGACATCAACATTGCAAACAACAAATCAGTTTATTCAGTTTATTGTCATTGCCCAAACATTCTATGCCAAAAAAGTGGCAGATAAAGTCAGGAGCCAAGGCGCTGGCAAAGTTAAAAAGGAGATTATTCATAGATCTACATATATATGTAGCCTGTGGTCTCTTAGGTGACGCGCACTTACATGTCCATTCCCCACCATGACCTCCACACACTCACTTTCCGCTTCACAAACAGTAGACAGACTAATTCCTGAATTCAATGTGAACAGTGGCATTAGCATGAGGGCTACTGTCCTGTATGAGCTGCAGCTCTGTATAAGTCCCTGTAGAGTCTTTGTGTCCAACTCATCTTTTCTCAACCAACACAAGAATCTTTTTTCAGTGACTAAATAGCACCATTATTTATTTCCAGAAACCAGGACAGTGGTAATTGTAAAATAAAAAATTAGATTATAATGTTTCAGTGAAGTACGCACAGACACAAAGAAGGGGAGCAGGGTGACTTTAATTACACACTGAAGTCATCCAGTGATTGAGAACCAATCCCTGTCCTTCCCTACAATCCGCACAGGTGTGTGTGTGTGTGTGTGTGTGTGTGTGTGTGTGTGTGTGTCCAGGAACCAGCTGTCCTCATCCCTCAACAAACAACACAAACATATTCTATCCTGTAATTGTCTACACAGGCTGACTCAGCCTATTTCCAGTCTCTGTACCTGGCTAACATCCACAACATATGATTACCCCCCCCCGCACTCATCCTAAAGCCTGTTTTCTGCCTAAAACTGCCTTCAGCGTTTTCCCATCATATTCATTTCACATTCCAGGAGGACGTGCTTGCATTGTTTTTCAAGTGAGTCCTTTTCAGAGTCAGAGTGTTGGGGACTGAAGGTGTTACATTAGAGTGGGGGGCTGCCCTGTTGCCCTCTCTGATGGACACTAAGAACAGAGCTGTGGGCCGCCTGGGAGGCTGGGACCGCATCAGGGTTAACGGGGGCCAGTAGGTGTGGGGGGGAAGAATTACACACCTATGGACCCTCCCCTTTGCTTCAGGCTATAACCTCCTAGCTGAATTAGCTGCCACTATAACACATTTAAATCCAAACTGTCGGAGGTCATAGTGCATTGTGGGTATCGAGGTGCCCAGTTCTGTCAAGGAAGAAAAAGGAATAGAAAACATTTAATCTGGATCGGGTCGAAACATTTTAGTTAATTTTATTTGACACAAATCCAGCTACACTGAGGGTAAGAGTCAGGAGAAAACTGAGCTGAAGATGGCACAACAAGTGCAGCGCCACTGTGAGAAATCTTCAACAGACCATACAAAGCCTATCACCAATTATCAACCGACACTCAGCAGATCTGAGGGCTCAAACTGCAGTTTCTCCAAACAGTCTCCTAATCTGACTAATGAACACGGGTTATCTCTATGGTAAAATACACAAACAGAAATGTAAAAATAACAATTTATGGTATTGAGGAGGGGGGTTTACTTGCTGTAAGTATTTCTTTAAAGGTGTGTTTGTGATCTGGTTTTAGTATCACAAAAGCTTTGACTTAAACAATGTGTTGCACTTTGAAACATGTTAGAGGTTTAGTCGTTAGTGCTGTCTGGCTGCTGTTTAATGCAGAAGATAGAATTTGGGAGGTTCTCAGAGGTGTTTTGCGGGCATGCAGGCACGTGTAAGCCCCCGGGCTAACAGCAGGCTCAGATGGCCCTCAGATCCTGAGCTCAGGAGGTCATGGACAGGCTGGGACAGGACGAACATTTCAGGAGCCAGGTGGGTGACGGTGAGCACTCAGTGTGGTCTGCTGATGTTCCCGGCTCAACAGAGCTTTGAGAGGGGTTCATGTAGAGGCTTTATCCCTTTAGACATCTAATGATGACGTATCAAACTGTTAAATCGATAAACACACAAATAAATAAATGAATAAATAATAAATAAAAATCCTCTTATTTGATGCCAACATGATTTTCTTTCTAATTGCATCCTTCCGTTGACTTTGTGTTCTATCACAGCGCCTCAAAATTGTTCTGTTCATTCTGTCTGAACACAAAGTAGATACACAATACAATAGATAGACAATACACACACACACAAACTGTCTTGTGTGACTTTAAATCCAGGAGAACCCGTGCTCCTCTGGGCTGTGGCGTCATCAACCTTAAGGATGATTCCCAGACCCCCTCTCTTTATCAAAGCTAACGGGGGCCCCTAACTCACAAACCATTAAGATAAGGCAAGAATGTGCAGGAGCACTGTAACTCAAGTCAAATCTCCTGCGTCTCATTTCCTCTGATGGTTAAGAGTTTGACTTCCCGTCCCTCAAAAATACAGAACCAGGGGTTTGAGCAGATACTTCCTAGTAGTTTTACAAATGAGACAACATCTGTTTGTGCTCAGAACACTTACAAGGTGATTTCACATCAAGAACTTTTGGGGAAGTTTAAGAGACACTTCAAAAACCCCTTACTGGTTCAGCAGATTTCATTCGGTTAAGAGGGAAACAAATATTCAAGAGTTCCTAGGAAAGCGGAGCAGTTCATCATCCCTTAATACGCCATCATCAGTGGAGTGATATTCCAAGTGCAGCCCTGCAACCTTCTATTCAAACTTAATATGTTGTAGAAGTAAAATGTGTTAAAGCAGGCCGGAGTCAGAGTTTAGAATGTGTGGGCTCCAGAATTATGTTCTTTTTATAGAGCTTATTTACTGCATTTATGTATACAATAGCAATACATGGCATATTGTAGAAATGAATGCAGTCGATTCTGTATATTGATTTTGATAAAATAAAAAAGTTAATGTCTTTCAGATGCAGACAGGGTTTATTTCTATATTTTTCATAAAGTCATGGAGGACATAGTGAATGCACCTAACACAATTACCTACGTCCTTCGTGCAAATCCCCCCCCTCCCCCTTCATGTGCACTCCCTCAGCAGCTCCTGGTCTCTGAACACTGACAGCCTGTATCCTGTCTGTTTCAGAACTCCACTGAGATCCACAGAGCTGCATATTTCAGACATTTGTCGTAAAATGATGATCAGAGAGGGCAGTTTGATGGAGGGCCATGTATTGAAACATGTTTGCTTTCCTTCATCACGCTCATCAGACTAAACGGTTCGCCTTTCTGTCAGTGATGTTTCCGTCCTGAACCTCAACAGTGACGCAGCACACAATGAAGCTGTTATCTTTACAATGGCCCTCCTCTTCCTACTTTGAGAAACATGGCAAACAATGTGACTGCTGTCGAGCAAAGCGTAGGGGCTTCCTCACAGCCCCATAAATGAGCAGATTTACCCCCCCCCCCACAACAACATCTGCTCCCCGGCAGGTGTGGAGGCTCGCACTGTAAATAAGCTGACAGTAATCTGTGAAGGAGGCGCTCGTGGAATGCAGAGCAACTCGACGCCAAGATTAGAAAGAGAAGAGGAATGAAAAGGAGACACACACACACACACACACACACACACACACACACACACACACACACACACACACACACACACACTGCAGGAGCACAGTCCTATACATATTCATTATCGAATGTCAGAGATGTAAAGTATCTTGTACTCAAGTACTGTAATTAAGTATCAGCTTTGAGAACACTTTCATGATCAATCATTATAAAACATATCATATATATTATTCTGAAATGGACCAATCTGCACAATTACTACTTTCACTGTCGCTACTTTAACTATATTTTGATGATAATACTTTTCTACTTTTACTTGAGGAACATTGGAATTGCAAGTCTTTCACTTAACAGAGTATTCCTAAAGTATGGTATTTCTACTTTTACTCAAGTACAACAAAGAGTACTTCTTCCACCTCTGTGGAGTTTCATGGCTCTTCTGTGAAGCAGACATCGTTAGTACTGCAGTTATGATAAGTACACTGCTGTGTAACGTGTCTTCTGAAAGCTACAGTGGAAACATGACACTTCTCTATTTGTCTTTTGGTGGGGCGACCACATAGTATTTACTGCTTATAGTTTCCAATAAAAGCACTTCTTCAAATGATATCAAAAGTTTTTTGATGGGCACCCAGAGATGCTTGTAAGTTGCTTCTTAATGTTTATTGCCCCTTAAAAAATAAAGTTATTCTGGGAATCCAATTAAGCTCTAATTAAACAGACTGAGTCATGTGATGGAGCTGCTACACTAAAAAAAATGAATTTCACATAACTGTATTAGGTTAATTGAAAGCAATAATATTAAGTTGAACCGAATATTCATATTTATTTCAACAGTTATGTGAAAAATGTTGACATTATACATTTAAATAAGTCAATGCATTAGTTTTTTCAGTGCAGTCTCACTTCAAGTTTTTAAAACTTCTTCTCTCAAAGAAAGTGTCCCACTCTTCGTCCCTCTGCTTACTGACACAAATACCCTGGACAGAGACAGAAATGGAAAGAGCACAATGAAAGTGCACCTCACCCCACAGCACACACAGAAAGGAAAGGCTCTAGCATCCCTGCAATGAAGGGAAGGAGATAAAGACGACTGTACCTTTCCTCCAAGGAGCCAGGATGGAGAAGGACTTGTGCCAGCTGATTACCAGCCCAGCCTTCTTCCTCTTCACACTCATGGTGCTATAACAATCCCTGAGGTTGGCACGTGGTGAGGTTAGGAGAAGTTCCTCAGAGATTCCTCATCATGTGGATGAAGTTCACTTGTAGTAAAGGCGTCTGTTGATGGGGGATTTAGGGAGGAAGCTGTCCTCCAGCAGGGTCAGGGTAGCTGCTGCACCGCACGAGTGTGAGTGTGACTTTGTGAGAGCTCCAGCTGAGAACAGTGAAGGGGGCGGGGCTCAAGTCCCAGCACTGAGGGGAGGAGGACGATGAGGAGGGGGAGGACGGGGAGGAGGTGGAGGAGGAGGGGGAGGACAGGGAGGAGGTGGAGGAGGAGGGAGAACAGTTTAAAATGTTCTACTGAGATTTAAAATACCCTTTCTCATCAATCACACTCAAACTCACGGTGAAAAACCGTGAATGACTCTCGTGAAGCACCAACAATGCATAAAACAATAAAACAAATGTAAAAAAACTATAAAATAGTGCAAGATTATCTTGCAAGACCAATGTGCAAGTAATGCAGGAAAAGTGACATACATGTCAAGAAAATAATAATACAATAAGTGAAATGATGCAGAGAATGTTGTGAGAGGCACATGCAGGAGTGTGTGTGCATAAGAGAACTCCCTTCTGAGGGGGACACTACACAACACAGGGGCAACATGTAATTGTCACTGTTAAATATTTCAAAACAACCACAGCAGCTTTTAGAACATCTCAGTTATTTTATAGACCATTAATGAGTTCATTTTAAGGAATCTAGTTTGCAAGCCTTTTTGTCATCAGCAGTTGTCATCATAGCATCACTGCTCACTTTCCTGCAGAGGTGGATAGTAACAAAGTACTTTCACTCAAGTACGGTACTCAGGTACACTTTTGAGGTACTTGTACTTTACCTCAGTATTCTCTGTTTATGCTATACACTTCTACTCCACTATACATTTTAGAAGCCAATAGTACTTTTTACTCTACTACATATATTGGACAGCTTTTAGTTACCAGTTACTTTTAAGATTTAGATTCTTAGCTAATACAAAATATAAATACATTATTAAATGAACTTCCAGCAGCAGTATATGAAGTATTTAAATGAGCTCTACATTTACAAGCTGTGATAAAAACACATGAATAATCATAATAGTAACCCAGTAACTCAATATGAATCTGAAATGGGCCATCATGCATCAGGAACTTTTACTACTAATATTTAAGTATAACTTAATACCGATACTCTTGGACTTTTATTTAAGTAAGATTTTGAATGCAGGACTTTTACTTGTAACAAAGTACTTTTAAAATGTAGTATTGCTACTTTAACTTCAGTAAAAAGAGTACTTCTTCCATCACTGCTGTGCTGGAGCATCTCACTTCCGTATAAAAGGAGGCCTCGCCTCCCGCTCATCATCCTTTACTCTTCAGCGAGCGGAGGTGATAGCCTAGCACTGGGGTACTCCGTCTTCACGGAGCTGTCTGGCGGGGGGAGAAAATCTATCCGCCCGGGACGAGAGGGCGAATCCCGCCTCCTCCCTGTACAATGCACAGATCACTACGTTTTCTAAATAGAAATGAGGTTGATCTGTATCCAAATCTAGGTGTCTTTTGTTTCCACAAATGCTACACTTACACACAATGTTAACCGTACAAATTCCCCATTCGCTGCCCCAGCTGTAGCTCCTGTAAAGGAGGTGACTAGTGGGCATGCGCAGATGAGAGGGATGAACCGCAGGGAGTGCTATCTAAAGGAAAGCGCTATGCGGTTACAGGGGCATTATGGCCGGCGTATTGCTGTCAGAGAACACACTACGCCTATAAAGACTCCGATTAATGCTGTTTACCGTAGTGGTGAAAACGGGGGGTTACGTATTGTAACCCTAGTTATATAAACACAGGCGGAGCCCTCTACTGGACTCTATGGGTACTACCTTATCCCGCGTGCATTCTCCCACTGAGACTTCTATAAACGTAGCCGGCCCAGGGTGGGCCTACCTGAATGCGCGCGCATCACACCGTATAAAAGGAGGCCTCGCCTCCTGACTGCCATCCTATACCTCTCTTCAGCGAGCGGAACAGGACAGACAGTGCCCTGAGTAGAGGGCTCCGCCTGTGTTTATATAACTAGGGTTACAATACGTAACCCCCCGTTATATCTCTCAAAGGCTCCGCCCGTAACGGGCCAGCGCGCCCCTTGCCTATCCCGGGACCCCCAGAGGGCCCAGGAAAGGCAAAGGCGCATCACGTCCGGGGAGGGGGTCAGATGCCAACTGACCCACAACCCCCCCCCCCTACAAATCCTGTGTTGCCCCAGCAAGCACAGACGAGGAGAAAGAGCCAGAAAGAACATGTCCAAGAGATAAAACCTTATAAAGGGGCCTGGCGTCGACCAAGACGCCGCTGTGCATAAATCCTCCACACCGTTGAATAAGGCTGTTGATACAGCTACAGCCCGTGTGGAGTGCGCACGAATCCCCGTGGGGCAGGCTCTCCCTGCCTGACCGTAGGCATGTGCAATGCACTCGCAGAGCCAGCCTGCCAGGCGTTTCTTGGACAGAGCTTTCCCGATCACCCCGCCCCCGAAGCACACGAACAGCTGTTCGGTGCGTCTAAGGGCAGCCGTGAGCTCCACATAACATGCTAGCGCACGCACCGGGCAGAGGAGGTGCAGTTTAGCCTCCCTGGCCCCCCATGGGGGGGAGACTAAAACCCCCTAACTGAATAGCCCTCGACCTGAACGCACTCCTTAGGTCTTTAGACACAAAGGAGGGGTTCGGTCTAAGTGTCGCGCCGCTCCGGCCACCCCGAACTAGTAAACAACTCGGGTGCACCGACAGAGCAGTTAACTCGGACACTCTTTTGGCTGACGTTAAGGCAAGAAGCAAAGCTGTTTTCCACGACAATGCTTTCAGAGGGGAGAGCTCCAGAGGCTCAATGGTCCCGAGGCCAGAGCCTCGAGCACTAGGGGCAGGTCCCACTGCGGGGTGGAGACGTGCACTACAGGGCGCAGTCTCCTAACCCCCTGTAAAAACCGCGACATCAGTGGTTGATTAAAGGCTGACCTGCCACCAAAAACCCTCATGACAGGACGAGATGGCTGCTGCATACACTTTCACTGTGAAATGCGCCAGCCCTCTGTCCACCAGTAAGTGTAAGAAGGATAAAATAGAGCCCAACTCACAAGATAGGGGCTCTATTCCCCGCTCCTCACACCAATGCTGGAATCTCAGCCACTTCGGCCTGTAACAGGCTGTGGTGGATTCTGCTCTAGCTGCCTGGATAGACTGAATAACGCTGTCAGACAATCTACCCTGTCTCAGCCTGTCCCTCTCAGGAGCCAAGCCTGAAGAGGACGGCCCAGAGTGGGTAACGCCCCGATTGCACCTGCCCCTTGAGACATCGCCCCCCCAGAACTGGGCGATCGCCCAGGGCTGGCCCACCTTCATCTGTGTCATTTCTGAGTACCACGGAGCCCCGACGCGATTCGGTGCTACCAGAATGACTGCCAGACGTTCTCGCCTCACTCTCCCCAGGAGAGGGAGAATGAGACGCAGCGGTGGAAAGGCGTATAGCAGCTTCCTTGGCCATGGCTCGTGTGCAAACGCGTCCACCCCCAAGGGCGGGTCGTCGCTCAGGGCCATGGAGAACCACAGGGCACAGTGGCTGTTGTGCCGGCTGGCGAGCAGATCCACTTCTGCTCTCCCGAACTGGGCCCAGATCTGCTTCACCACCTCCGGGTGAAGCACTCGCCTGGCAGGGGGCCGCCCCTCGACCTGAGGTCGGCCCCTCTGTTCTCCAGTCCCGGGACATGGAGGGCTCTCAGAGATAACACCACCTCTGAGGCCCATCACCACAGCTCCTCCGCTGTGGTCAACAAGGAGGCGGAGCGGACTCCGCCCTGCCTGTTGATATAAGCCACTGTGGTGCTGTTGTCGCACCTGACCATTACATGTCTCCCCTGAATTAGGGGCATGAAATGCCGGAGAACTAACACTACTGCCCGTAGCTCTAGGAGGTTGCTGTATCGAAACTCTGTCAGAGCCCAGCGCCCACCTATAGCTCTCTTCAGGCAGGTCCCTCCCCATCCTGTTCCGGACGCGTCCGTGAACACTGTGATGTAGGAGGTCACCCGTCCCAGTGGAGACCCCCTCCGGAGGTGGTCCGGAGACCCCCAAAACCGGAGGTTGCCCCCACTGAGGGGGGGGAGGAATGGTCACCAGCCGTCGTTTGTGCCTCCAAACGCAGGCTGGGGAACCACCTCTGCAGGCGGCGCATATGTAGTAACCGGCGGGACCACCATGTGAGCAGCCGCCATGAGACACAGAGTCTGCATGACAGTTAAAGCTGTCACTGTTGCCCCCTGTCGCAGCCTGTGCCCCGCCCTGAGACGGGGCACACGTCTGCTCTCTGACAGGGTGACACGCAGCGCGTCTGCATCGAGCACCACACCCAAATACAACGCCTGTTGGCGAGGTATGGGGGTGCTCTTTCTTTCCCATCGATCGCAAAACCTAATTTGGTTAGGTGTGTGATCAATTGTGCTGTGCAAAACATTGCCTGTTCCCGGGACCCAGCCATGACTATGAGGTTGTCTATGTAAAATAAAACTCTCATGCCGTGTGTGCGCAGCGGTTGAGGCGCTGTGGCCACACATTTGCTGAATGTGCGTGGGGATAGGGAATAACCGAACGGCAGCCTGTTGTATTCGTAGGCTATTCCCTGGAAGGCAAAACGCAGATACTTTCTGTGCTCTGGAACAATTTCCACATGAAAGTATGCGTCTTTCAGGTCGATGGTGGTGAACCAATCGCCTAGCTGCACAAGCCCTAGTAACTGTTTCACAGTTAACATGCGGAATTTCCGGCTGGAAATATGACGATTCAGGCATCGGAGATCTAGAATAGGTCTGAATTCCCCTGTTTTCTTGAGAACCAGGAAATACATGGAATAATGACCCCTCTCTCTGTGCTGAGGATGCACAACAGACACAGCCTGTTTCTGCACCAGAGCCTGAATCTCTGCTGAGAGGAAACCCATCTCCTCCTGGGAAGACAGATTTACCTCTCGCATGCCCATAAAAGGAGGTGGGATGCTGCAAAACTGGAGTGAATAGCCCCGTTTCAGCGTCCTGTCCATCCACCTTGTCAGTACACAGCTGAGTTTCCATTCCCCATAACATTGTGTTA